TAATCCAGAAATAGTACCTCGGGTTAAGAACTTTGCTTCAGGATGAGAACAGAAATCGCACGGCAGCGGGAGGCCCCATTAGCTAAAGTGGTACCTCAGGTTAAGAACAGTTTCAGGTTAAGAACGGACCTCCAGAACGAATTAAGTTCTTAACCCAAGGTACCACTGTACACCTTTAGGCACCAGGCAAAAGTGTTTCTTTTTAACCAGGCCTTTGGTGGATTTGATTGACATCCTATGCCCTTTTAAAATGTGGCTTGGGGGGGTTATTGGGTTGTTGTTGTTTTTATTTTGATTATGTATTTTGCTGTTTTATATTTTGAGTTTATTCTGTGAACCGCTCTGAGAACTCCAGGTATAGGTTATAGGAATAATAATAATAATAATGTTATAAACATTATTCTAAAAGAATTTTTACATCTTTCAGAAACTGTACAGTCAATTAACATTTACACTGTATCACAGTTTGGAAGCATAGGAAAGCCCAAGCCAGCTGTCAAAGCAATTATGGATATACCACTAATGTGCATAAGCTAGCACTTATAGTTACAGACTTGAGGCTTAAAATTCACTGCTGTGCTCTATGGGTGCTTCCAGACTGTCACTATTTGGGGGATGGGATTCAATCACATTGGCAAATTCAGGTTGTGTAATTAAAATTGTTTGGGAGCTCTTGTACAACAAATGCACTTTACCCCAAATCTGACTTACTGCAATAAGGAAAATAATGCAGAAATGCACTGCAGGATAACATTTGAAGTAATGTCACATAATTTCACCACAAACAAATCAGGATGTATGCTCAACAAACAAGCCATTTGGAAGTGGCCAAATAAATCACATGGTCAGAACTATATACCTGAAGGAGCATCTCCACCCACATCGTTCTGCCCAGGCACTGAGGTCCAGTGCCGAGGGCCTTCTGGCAGTTCCCACACTGCAAGAAGTGAAGTTACAGGGAACCAGGCAGAGGGCCTTTTTGGTAGTGGCGCCCGCCCTGTAGAACACCCTCCCATCAGATGTCAAAGAAATTAACACTATCCAACTTTTAGAAGACATCTGAAGGCAGCCCTGTTTAGGAAACCTTTTAATGTCTGATGAATTATTGTATTTTAATATTTTGTTGGAAGCCACCCAGAGTGGCTGGGGAAACCCAGCCAGATGGGCGGGGTATTATTATCATCATCATCATCATCATCATCATCATCATCATATTTGTTAAGAATGGATGGTATAAGCAGAGTTGAACCTCTGAGGACCAGAATACCAATGATCTTCGGTGGCTGGTGTCTTCTTGCCTATGCCACAGTGGTTTTCAGAGTGGAAGGTGCTGTGTCATTTTATAATTTGCTGCCTCTCCATTTTATTGTTGTGTATTGTATTGTATTGTATTGTATTGTATTGTATTGTATTGTAGTGTTGTTTATTGTACAGTAAATACACTGTTGTGTTTATTATATTATACTGTCAGCAGGACACAGGACGCTATCTCCCATTACATCTTCCCACCCCAGCACTAAGGGTAGCCTACATGGTCCCCTCCAGATGTTATTGGATTCCCAACTCCCATCAGCCCCGGCAGTCCTGCCGATAATCAGAGATGATGGGACTTGTAGTCCAACAACAACTGTCCTTTGTCCCAATGGATTTCAGAATATTGTACAATGATACATGAAAATACCTCAAGGGTGGCATGTGCTTGATGGGGCAAGAGGGAAAGAGGGGAAATAACTGGGGAGACTTCCCTAAATTTCAACCACATTATCTCTACAACTTGGACTCATCTCTGCGACACTGTCATGCTGGCTTTTACTGGTGAGGACACTGCCATGGTATGGCTGCTGTTGCTCCATTTGGTGCTATGCAGAGCAGCATATTTCCCCATTCTGTTCTGGGCTGGGTGATTGTAGCATATGGCAGGCAATTGTGTTGGTGTACTGGCAGTGTACCTCTTTCCCCGGCTTACTAGGATATAGGGTTGTTATTTTGTTAGATTGCATGAAAGGACAAATGTGCTCTCATACAATGGAAAAATATTAAGTCATGAGAAAAGAAGTGATACTGATGGGAGATGATTCTGAATGCCAAGACAAAATGCACTGGAATGCCATAATAACAAAAACTGGCTACATCTCCTTTAAAAAATAAGTCAGGGGAAAATAAGTACAGGTGCAATTTATTTTTCTCTTAGGAGGATGAAACAAATGCTAGAGAAGTGCTATGCTGATGAACTAATATTGTAACTTTAGAACAAAGTTAGTAATTGTCAGGGAACTGCCATCGGAAGGAAGGGAGGTGAAAGGACTCAGACAGGTTGGAAGAGACTCAGCAGCGGAAGAGGGAACCAGCAAGGGGAGAGAAGCTGAACTGAGGGAGGTGAAAGGGCTCAGACAGGTTGGAAGAGACTCAGCAGCTGAAGAGGAAACCAGCAGGGGAGAGAAGCTGAACTGAGGGAAAGGGAGCTGGGGGATGGCTCAGAGATACTTCCAGCGAAAACAGTGGTGAGGTTTCCGGACCTCCTGTTGGGACACCCACTCCTCGCCGGAAACTGTCACGCAGAGAGTCCAGAAGACGTGTTTCCGTTAAGGAACTTTTATGTTGGAAGCGATTACGAAAGCAGCCACTGTCGGAATCTTCTAGTGACTAGAGGAGCCATGTCAGAGGGGCTCAGTCACAGACAGAGGTTTGTGGACTTGAACAAACTCTGAGGGAATACGATTTTACGCACAAGCAGCTCATCTTCCCATCACAGCATTCCGACAGTCTTTGAACGCAGCTTGTGCAGGAGAAGGCATAATGAGCAACCCAGCAGGAACCGGAGAAGCAGGGGCTGGAGCGGGTCCAAGCCTGGAAGAAAGGTACCGGGTGTTGGAGGTCCAGCTGGCGCTGCAGACGGCGAGGCTGGAGGAGAGGAGGGCTCAAGATGCAGACAAACGGGAGAAAGCCACCCAGCTCGCCAGAAAGGTACCAGGATTGGTGCAGAAATTTGGGGGGGAGCCCAGAGACTATCATAGCTTTCGGACAGAAATGCAATATGCCCTCAATCTGCAGTTTGATGATTTCCCTGATGAGGAATCACGAGTGGCTTTTGTGATTGGGCATCTTGAAAAGGGGGCGAGAGACTGGGTTAGACCCCTGATGGCAGCGCATAGTGACGTCCTAAAGGACACGATGAAGTTCTTTCGCGCCATGGATCTGATGTTTTCCAGCGATATTGAAAAGGGAGTGGTGCGCAGACAGTTAATGGCTTGCAAACAGGGGAGCCGATCTGTACGTGAGTACTGGACTGAGTTCACCATGCTGATACACAGATTGGGGTGGGACTTATCGGCGGAACCCATTCAAATGCTCTTTGAAGAAGGGCTTTCTTCGGCTGTGAAAGATGAACTTTCCCGGGCGCCCAGGGCGGAGTCTATGGACCAGCTGACCAAATCAGCGCTGGCCATAGGAGCGCGCCAGGAGGCGAGAGCATTGGAGAGGCGGGAAGGGAAAGGGGAACGTTGGAAGGAGTTCCGCATTCCAGACATTCCAGAGCCAACTTTCCCGCCGGCAGAGCCGATGGAAATCGGAACAGCGCGCGCGCGCGCAGTTTCAAAGCCCAGTGAGGGGGGGGGAAAAGGAGGGAAAAGGCGCCCGGAAATGCTATCTCTGCCAACAGCCAGGGCACTTTGCCAGAGTCTGCCCCCAGAGGAAGGAATGGCAAGGGATGGTGGGAGCTGTGGAGGGAAGAGAGGAAAAGATACCGGAGCAACTAAAAGCCAACGCCTGGCTGCCATTGTCGGGGCACAGCAGCCAGGCCAAAGAGCAGTGAAAGTGCCCACGCCAGAACCTCCTAAACCCGCCCTAGTGATAGAAGTGACACTAGAGCTGCCAAACGGACACCCTCTAAAGATAAAGGCGCTGTTGGACTCAGGCAGCTCCTGCAATTTCATGAGCAAAGAGTTTGCAGCTGAACACCAGATACAGACGCTCCCTTTAAGCAACCCCCTGCAGGTAACCACGATCGATGGCAGGGAGCTGTTGGGAGGAGAAGTCAGCTTGCAGACCGTCCCAATGATAATGAAGGTGGCAAGGCACACCGAACTCATTGCGTTTAATGTGGCCACCTTGGGAGGAGCTCCCATTATATTGGGGATGAGCTGGCTAGCGTTACATGATCCGCTGGTGGGCTGGCATCAAAGAGTGGTTTCTTTTGGGTCAGCACATTGCTTAGAACACTGCAAAGAGGGAAAGGTTTTGGCAGGGGCCCAAGCCACCCTAGCAGGGACTGAAGTAACGGAGAACGTGAAGGTACCACGACAATACGCAGATCTCCGCGACGTCTTCAGCGAAAGGGAAGCTGACCAACTACCACCGCATAGAGCCTTTGACTGTCAAATCAATTTGCTCCCTGGGGCACAGCTCCCTGTGGGCAAGCTGTACGCCATGTCAGACAGAGAGATGCAGGAGCTAAGAGAGTTCATTGACAAGAACCTGAAGAGAGGGTTCATCAGAGAGTCCAGGGCGGTGGGGGCAGCCCAGTGTTTTTGTGGACAAAAAACACGAACAAGCCGAGACTGGTGTGTGACTTCAGGGCCTTAAATGCAGTGTCAGAACCAGTGGCCTTCCCGATGCCCAGGATTGACGACATTTTGACAAGGGTGCGGAAGGGAAAGATTTTCACCAAGCTGGATCTAAGGGGGGCGTACAACCTGATACGAATAAGGAAGGGGGATGAATGGAAAACCACCATGTTCACCCCTTTAGGGGCATTTGAATACTTAGTTATGCCCTTCGGTCTACAAGCAGGCTCCGCAACATTTCAATCGTTTATGAACCACGTCCTGGGGCCGTTGCTTTACAAGAATTGTGTGGCCTTCTTAGACGACGTGTTGGTGTATTCTGAGAATGAGGAGCAGCATGTGAGAGACGTCAGAGAAGTGTTGAGCAGGCTGCAAGCCAACCAGCTGTGGGTGAAACTGGAGAAGTGTCAGTTTCATACCAAGGAGGTGGAATTCCTGGGGTATCGCCTGTCTGACAAGGGGTTGGCCATGGATCCCGGCAAGGTCCAGGCGGTACTGGAATGGAAAACACCCAAAACAAGGAAGGATGTGCAGAGGTTTTTAGGATTTGGGAACTTCTATCGTAAGTTCATCCCAAACTTTGCCCACCTGACGGCGCCCATTACGGACTGTCTCAGCAGTAAGAAGAAGTTCGTTTGGACGGAGGAGGCGGAGCAAGCATTTGAGGAACTAAAAGGGCCTTCGCCTCGGAACAACAGCTCCTGCATGTGGATTTACAAAAACCGATGAGAGTGGAAACTGACGCATCAGACAGAGCGGTTGGGGCGGTGCTTCTCCAGCCAGGGAAGGAGGAGTCAGAGTGGAGACCGTGTGCTTTTTTTCGCGAAAGCTGAACAAATCCGAGAGGAACTACACGGTGTATGACCGAGAACTACTAGCCATTCATGAGGCGTTCCGGAGATGGAGGCACCTGCTAATTGGCGCACAACATAAGGTGCAAGTGTGCACTGACCACAAGAACCTAGAGTATTGGAGGACGGCACGAGTGCTCAACCAACGGCAAGTGAGGTGGGCCCAGGAATTCTCCAAATTTAACTTTGAGATTTGTTACGTGCCAGGCCCAGAGAACATTAGGGCGGACGCTCTCTCACGCAAACCTGAATATTTGGAGGGGGAGGGGCACCCGAAGAGAGACATGTCATTCCAGAGGACCGCTGGGTGTGTGGGGCGGCATTGGTGGGACAAAGAGAACTGGTAGAAGAAACAGAGAATGATGAATACGCCCAGAATAAGCTCAGAGGTCTTAGGGATGAGGGAGAGGAATCAAGGGGTTTCGAGGAAAGAAATGGAGCTTTGTATTACAAAGGGGCACTGTATATCCCTGAAGGAGACTTAAGGGGAGGGTACTCAAGCAGTTGCATGACAGCCCCACGGCGGGCATTTTGGGCAACACAAAACCATGTGGTTGGTCACCAGGGAATTTTGGTGGCCTAAGGTGAGGGAGGATGTACGTGAGTATGTAAGAGGGTGCGAGCAGTGCCAGCGAGCCAAAGGGGAAAGGCGGGCGCCGGCGGGCTATTAGAACCCTTACCAACACCAGAACGACCTTGGGAGGCAGTGTCGATAGATTTTATGACTGATCTGCCGAAGTCCAAAGGGAAAACAGCCATCATGGTGGTGGTAGACCTACTAACAAAGATGTGCCACTTTGTAGCTTGCTCGCATGCAGTCACGGCGGAAGAGACAGCGAAGTTATTTGTAGAACACATTTTTAGGTTGCACGGGGTGCCATTGAGGGTGGTCTCAGACCGAGGAAAACAATTTACTTCCAGGTTCTGGAGGAAGCTCATGAGCTTACTGCAGGTGGAGGTCAACTTTTCGACTGCCCGGCACCCTGAAACCAACGGGCAGGCGGAAAGAGCAAACGGTGTCCTCCAGCAATACCTGAGGTGTTATGTCAATGACAGAGAGAATGACTGGGTAGAAAAGTTGGCGCTGGCGGAATTTGCCTACAACAATGCCGAGAATGTGTCCACAGGGATGAGCCCCTTCTTGGCTAATTATGGGTGTCATCCCAGGGCTTTCCCAGGGGAGAAGGGGAGAGATGGAGCGTACCGGCAGCCGAGCATTTTGTAGAAGAAATGGAAGCAATCCACCGTCAGCTCCAACTCAACTTAGAAAGGGCGAAGGAAGAATACAAGAGGCAGGCAGACAAGAACCGAAGGGAAGGTGAAACCATAAGGGTTGGAGATAGGGTGTGGCTGTCAACCCGAGGGGTGCCGTTCAAAGGAGGTTGTAAGAAATTAAGACCCAGGAGGTTGGGTCCCTTTGAGGTCATTCAACAGGTCAACCCAGTGGCTTTCAGGCTCCGGTTACCCAACCACATGAAACTGCACCCAGTATTTCACAGGTCGTTACTGTCACCGTACGAGGGGGGACGAGAAGGGATGGCCACTCGGGGACCGGTCATAGAAGAAAGAGAATGCAGCAGTCATGTGGCAGAAATCCTTGATGCCAGGTGGAAGGGGAATCAGGTGGAGTATTTGGTAGCGTGGGAAGGAGAACCGGAGTCAGAAAACACGTGGGTAATGGCCGAAGATATCAATGACGAGGTATTGATAGAAACGTTCCATCAAAGGTTCCCGAGGAAACCTCAGCCTGTGGAGAGGTTCCGGAGGGAATACTTTGGGACCACTGAGGAGGAGGAGGAGTTGGAAGGATTCCCAGAATCGGAAGGGGAAGGGGAGATGGACTCGGAGGAGGAGGAGTGCTTCGAGACCAGGAACCGCAACAGGTGGAGAGAAGTGTTCGAGACATCGGAAGATGAAGGAAGTTCATTCCGGGTTTTGCCTCCTCACCGCCCGTAGAGGAGGGGGCGAGAGGGGGTGAAGGGGGCCCTGGAGGGGAGGTGGATGTCAGGGAACTGCCATCGGAAGGAAGGGAGGTGAAAGGACTCAGACAGGTTGGAAGAGACTCAGCAGCGGAAGAGGGAACCAGCAAGGGGAGAGAAGCTGAACTGAGGGAGGTGAAAGGGCTCAGACAGGTTGGAAGAGACTCAGCAGCTGAAGAGGAAACCAGCAGGGGGAGAGAAGCTGAACTGAGGGAAAGGGAGCTGGGGGGGATGGCTCAGAGATACTTCCAGCGAAAACAGTGGTGAGGTTTCCGGACCTCCTGTTGGGACACCCACTCCTCGCCGGAAACTGTCACGCAGAGAGTCCAGAAGACGTGTTTCCGTTAAGGAACTTTTATGTTGGAAGCGATTACGAAAGCAGCCACTGTCGGAATCTTCTAGTGACTAGAGGAGCCATGTCAGAGGGGCTCAGTCACAGACAGAGGTTTGTGGACTTGAACAAACTCTGAGGGAATACGATTTTACGCACAAGCAGCTCATCTTCCCATCACAGTAATATTATATTATCTAACAGGAAATATGAGTAATAGGGATCCAACCTGAGGAATGGGAGAACGTTAGCTTTTTTGCTGCTGCATCACACTGTTGACTCATGTTAAGCTTGTGGTCCACCAAGACCCCTAGATCCTTTTCTCATGTACTGCTAGTAAGCCAGATGTCCCCCAACCTATATTTGCACATCTGATTCTTCCTGCCTAAGTGCAGAATCTTACATTTGTCCCTATTGAAATTGATTTTGTTAGCTTGTGCCCAGTTCTCCAATCTGTTAAAGTAATTTTGAATTCTGATTCTGTCTTCTGAGGCATTAGCTATCCCTCCCAGTTTGGCGTCATCTGCAAATTTGATGAGCATCCCCTCAATATCTTCATCCAAGTCATTTATAAAGATGTTGAACAACAGGCCCAGGACAGAATCCTATGGCACCCCACTTGTCATTTTTTACAGGATGATTAGGAAACATTGGTGAGCACTCTTGGGGTTTGGTCAGTCAACCAGCTACTAATCCACCTAACTGTTATCCCTTCCGGTCCATATTTTACTAGCATCTCTGCAATAATATTATGGGGGACTTTGTCAAAAGCCTTTCAGAAATCAAGATACACTACATCCACACCAACCCCCTGATCAACTAAGCTCATAACTCTATTAAAATAAGAAATGATATTTGTCTGGCATGACCTGTTTTTGAGAAACCCATGCTGGGTCTTTGTAACCACAGCATCCTTTTCTAAGTGCTCACAGACCAACCATTTTATTATCTGTTCTAGGACCTTTCCTGGTATCGATGTCAAGCTCAGCAGTCAACACAGTGGTACCTCAGGTTAAGAACTTAATTCGTTCTGGAGGTCCGTTCTTAACCTGAAACTGTTCTTAACCTGAAGCACCACTTTAGCTAATGGGGCCTCCCTCTGCCGCCACGCCGCCGGAGCACGATTTCTGTTCTTATCCTGAAGCATAGTTCTTAACCCGAGGTAATATTTCTGGGTTAGCGGAGTGTGTAACCTGAAGCATCTGTAACCTGAAGCGTCTGTAACCCGAGGTACCACTGTAGTTACTTGGGTCTTCTTCTCCCCCCCCCTTTTTTTTTTTGAAGATGAGAACAACATTTGCCTGCCTCCAGTCTGTAGGGACCTCGCCTGTTCTCCAAGAATTCTCAACGATCATAGACAAAGCCCCTGAGATTACATCAACAAGCTCCTTTAGTACCCTTGGGTGCAGCTCATCAGGCCCTGGAGGTTTGAATTCACTTCCAAATGCTCCCTACTACCTCTTTTTTATCTTGGGCTGCAGCTCCCCCCTTACATTGTTTATTCTGTTATCACCAAATTAGGCACTCCTTTCCTTTTGGGCAAAGTAAGTGTTGAACAGTTCCACTTTCTTTCTGTCATCCAGCAGCATTTCTCCATCTTCTCCACACAGAGGACCTACTACTTGCTACCAGGCACATTTTTTTGGAAATCCCTCATAACACCAGTAGGTTTGACTAAGAGGGAAAATACTTTTATCTCAGTGACAGATGACAGCGTTGAATAGACAAATAGAAGGTCTAAGCTTTCTAAAGAAAGGCATTCAAAAACGGATGCACCAAAATGAGTAACAATTCTGAAGAGACATTTTGTATTTCAGTTCTCTATAGCTCTCATGGGTTGGTATCTGTAAAAGGTTTCAGAGATTAATCCAGCTACTGAAATTGCTTACTTTTATCATTTTCTTTTCAGACCAACATCTTTAAATAAAATGAGGACAGAAATGTAGTACCCTAGTAGGCAGCAATTCCCTATTGATCTAATACATTATATGTCTGAGGCATTTTCCCAACAGGATGGCAGCAGCAGCTGCACAGGAGAGTTAGCTTAAAGGTCTAGCTTTCAGGCTCAGAATAACCGAAATGCCTGCTTAGGGTTCATCCACACTTCCCTTTGTCCTGCAATTTCTTCTGTTTCGTCCATGACTTCTAGGCACAGATCTGGGAGGTTTCTCTTTTGTCCCACTGACATTTGTTCCAATTCAGTGGTAAACAGCAGGTTTTCCTGGAGAAAGTAGACCAAACCAAAGTGTGGATTCACCCTTAGTGTAAATTATCCATAAAATGCAGTGAAAGGAAGCTGGATAAAATTCAGATGATGCAACAGAGTTCATGGGTTCCTGCTAAAAGCTTTTTTCTAATGAAATCTGTCCAGGCACACATACACATCTATGTGGACCATTAAAACCTAACCAGGCTACTCACAAAATGAGATGGGTTGGAAATTACCAAAACAAATTATTACTAATAGCTTAGGAACAAAATGGTGACATTAGATGAACTGAGAGAAAAAAGAAAACATGAAACCCCCAAAATAATATATATTATTATTTCTCACACCAAATATCCTCCTTTGAAAATGTCTTATAGCAACGCCTCCACATATCTGTTCAGAAGTCCCAATGCATTCAACTGGGCTTATTGCTAGATCCCTGACAGTTAGTAGGGATAGGACTGCAACCTCAGTAACTTTCTTGCATATACACTTTGATCCTTCTAGAGCAGAGATAGCTAATCTGTGCCCATATGGATATTATGGGTGTTGTTGAACTACAGCTCCCATCAGCCATGCTGGCTGGGTTGATGGGAGTTTTGAGTCTGGCAACATCCAAAGGACCGCATCTTAGCCACCCCTACTATATATAATGTGGCAACTACTAAAAAAATGGACACAATCATCTTCATTCAGGGATATGTAATGTACCCTTGAGTAGAAACATGTGACTGTACTTTAAATATGATGTGTGCATATTCACATAAGTATCAGCCATTTGTTAGGTGCAGGCAGATAGTAATGTGAATAGTGTTAGGTCCTGAAAATGAATGCAAATACTGAATTACAATGAACATGTACCCTATGAATCCAGGAGAATATGAGCTGCCATTTTATGGTGAGAATGGCTGGATTCAAATAGAATAAATAATATATATACTGTATAAGGACTAATTTCACCCTGAAATCCTCTCTTTCTCTCTCTCCACACACAAAGCTACTCAAGGCAAGCAGGCATATTGAAATCCTAAATCCTAACAGAATGAATTGTAAACAAACAAGAATAATCCTGTTTATATCATAAAGAAGCTACACATAATAACAATTTCAAAATATTGTGCTTGATCCTATCAGAGATAGCCATGCATTCAAAAATTCATTTTAGGACAGTAAATAAGACTGATGTTTGAAAGTGAATACTGTTTGTTGCTAGGCAGTTATAGTCCCTATGTTCATATAAGGTGCAGAAATAACAAATTAGCAATGATAGTGGGATTTTAAATAAGAGCCAAGACAGGAAGAAAGGCAGACAGGACATTAAACTGGTTCACAGAACCCTAAAATCCAAACTCTGAGACCATGGTTTGTGGTGAAGCTGAAAAGAGGCTTGTGGTTAAGTTCTCTCTGATCTGCAGCCAAGGCTAGCTACAGCTTGTGGTTAGTAAGGACAGAACTTAACTACAAGTCCTAGTTTGGAAGACACACAAAACAAACCTTGGCTTAGTTCGGCATGGCACAGTTGTAAAAAGGATTGGGGAGGAGCAAGGCAGCTGTGAGTTCCTCTCAGGGAGTCCACATGTTTACAGTTTCAGTATGCCATAGTTTGTCTTACAATGTTGTGGGAACCAGCCCTAAATAAAAGTTATGCGGCTGTGTTCTTCCATGAATGTAGCATTTTCATTTTCACTTTTAAATCTCTGTTACATTATTACATCCTCCTTTTTGCATCTGTGATCAGATAGCCCTCAGTGTCTTTGGCTGTAATATGGGGCATATCACCCAGCCCACCAGCTGTTAGGCTGTCTTATTGCCACCTCTAGAAGTACAGGCAGTGGCTATTTCTGTCTAAAATTCCTATGCAGGTGAAGCAGAAAGCCTTGGAATTTTAGCACCACAGGCAGGTGGCTCACCTGCCTAGATGGTTGGGCTAGCCTGGCTTAGTGAGACAATTAAGCAATCTGCAGTCTTGAGGACTTTTGCTGTTTAAATACTGACGCTAATCATAAATCATATATAATTCTTCACAAATGAAGCACATTTCCCTTTTGCATAGTTAAGAGCTGATCATATTAACTCGAGTTAAATCTTAAAACCAACATTTCCTACAACCCTCACTTTAATTTCGGAGTACCAAGAAAAGAGAGTTAACTGCACTCGTGTTCAAAACTTGGATCGGAATTGCATAGGAATCTATGTCTTTTCTCCTCTTTCAGATTTTCTTCCTCTCTCACACATAAACAAGTACCTCACAAATAGCTATAAGAAGCAGCAGGCACTGACAAACAGCAAAAATAATTGCAAAAGGAAGCATATGAGCAGTTTTAAGTAGAAATTAGTAGAAACGTTTTTCATTCTACCACATTCATGCAATTGTGGAAAAACAAGAAAAGGGATCAATTTCAATAGAACAGAAATACCTTGCCCATGTATATGATTCTCATATGAAATGGGTGGATGCTCAGAGACGTCTAACAGATATATAAAGCTGAAAGCAATGGAAGGCTTATCTCTCTTTTTCTCTCTCTCTTCATTCCTCCTTCCCCTTGTATTGATGACTCAAGCATATGTTCTCCAAGGATAAAAACTTCCACTGGTGATAGTAGTCAGATCAAATGGAGATTATTTCTTACAAGCTATTACAAAGCAATAATCAGGCAACATAAAATCCTCCTATATTCTTGAGGAGGAATATATAAGGTTATTCCCCTCCCCTTTCTAATATTTCAGAGAAGACATTCATATATGCATATTTATAAAGTGCTGGCTGAATATTAGCTGCACTACATAAATGCAAATGAGAAACAGCCAACAACATAGTTTACATTTTCCATAATTTTTCACCCTCCAATTTGCAAAAATGAAAATATGTTTTCATCATTTTTCTATCCTTCCTTATAACACTTAAGTTCAAGTGTTTCTTGCTGGCTTTTAAAAATTTCCCTTAATGCAGTTAAAAAGGTAAAGGTAAAGGTAC